ATGGTCTATATACTAGTAGACTTTTTGGTCAGTTTGTAAAAGAACGAATTCGAATATACAGGTTAAAAAGTGCTATTGCATTTATTGTTACATGTAAGAATGAAGATTTAATACCTACGTTCGCTTGTTTTCGTTTGGCAAATCCTCGTTTAGCCGATACTAAATTAAGGCAAAAGTGCGCTCGTCATATTTTGCAAGCTGAAATGAAGTTCAAGCAGCGTCTTGTGAGTCGAACGGGAAAATACTTGAGACGACTGGACGCAGAATTAATGCAAAGTGTCTCCCGTATTGTTTATATTCGTTTACAATCTATTGCAGAAGAAATTATTAAAAGAAAGATGAGCGAGATTGAAAGGACACACGAGACAAAACTCAATGGTTTACGGGAAAAAAAATTAAGACGTGCTTCACAGCGTCAGATTCTTGACCCGGTAACAAATCGTCCACGTCAGATTCTCGATCCGGTGACAAATCTTTCACAAGAGATGTGCGATCAGGTCACAAATCTTTCACAAGAGATGTGCGATCCGGTCACAAATCTTTCAAAGTACACCTTAACCGATAGCGAGCATAATGCTCTAATTAATGGATTAGATCATGTGTATCCACCTGAAAAACTCGATCAACCACAATTCGTGTGCAATATGGAATATTTTTATGCACGTCTTTTAAATGTACGAACTGCGTATCGACACTATGAACAAAAATCAGCTACTGAAGTTGTTCGTCATCAGCTAACATCATTACAGCTTAGTGCTGCATCTGAATTACGTGAAACTGCAAATTCTTTTCGCAAAGTTGCTGAATCTGAACTCAAGAAAATAGGTGTAGAACATCGTAAAACATTTAGTACTCTTCGTTCTCTTACCAAAAACAAATCGATTATTGTAACTCGACCTGACAAGGGTCGTGGCGTGGTCATCATGGATCGTGAAGATTATGTAAAGAAAATGAATAAGATACTCGATGATAGATCTGCTTTCACCTTAATCAATTACGATCCAACATTAGATAATGAAAATGAGCTGATTCGGTTTCTGCTTGTCTTAAAAAAAGAAGGTTTTATAAGTGATCAAGAATTCAAGTTGTCATGTCCGACTGGATCGAGACCTGCTCGAATATATGGTGTACCTAAATTGCATAAAAAAGGTGAAGACTATCCTCTTCGACCTGTAATGTCAGCTACGAAGACAGTGGCTTATGGACTCGGTAAAATGCTGGCTACTCGATTGAATATACTTCGTACTAACCCGTATATCATCAAAGATAGATTTGATTTTGTTCGAAAAATTAGAAAATCAGAACTCGGTGATAAAAAAATGGTATCTTTCGATGTTACGAGCCTTTTTACTAAGGTTCCACTTACTTATACTATCGATTTGATACTTGATAAAATATACCCTACCTGTTCCTCAATATGTAAATATAAACAAAGAAGTCGTCTTTGTGTGAAATGCAGGAACAGATCTTATTTTGAGAATCTTCTTCGAATAGCTACATCAAAAACTCACTTCATTTTCGATCAAAAAATGTACGTTCAACATAACGGCGTTGCAATGGGTGCTCCTCTGGCTCCAATAATTGCCGCTATTTTTATGTCACATCTAGAGGAGACTTTGATGGATCGCTTGAAGGAAAGTGGTGTTTGTGAGTGGTATCGATACGTCGACGATACATTCGTACTTATTGAACCTACAACAAAAGCCGAAAATGTACTCGAAATTCTAAATAATTTTCATCCATCTATCAG